GGGGGTATGTTCAGTAGAAACTGTTCTTACCTCCTTACATTAGGGGGGTGGGGGGTATGTTCAGTAGAAACAGTTTTTATCTCCTTACAGTAGGGTGGTATGTTCAGTAGAAACTGTTCTTACCCCTTACAATAGGGTGGTATTCTTACCTCCTTACAATAGGGTGGTATTCTTACCTCCTTACAATAGGATGGTATTCTTACCTCCTTACAGAAGGGTGGTATTCTTACCTCCTTACAATAGGGTGGTATTCTTACCTTCTTACAGTAGTGGTATGTTCAGTAGAAACAGTTCTTACCTCCTTACAATAGGGTGGTATGTTCAGTAGAAACAGTGTGGTTTCCTTTGGTTTACATTTATCTCCCTCACGGACACTGTGCTCCTTCAAGTAAATACAATGGGTTGCTTTACTTTTTTCACAGTACTTCACTTGAACAACTGAAATAGTAAGAAATACATTTGGTTTAACAACGATACTATAATATCCATTAAAACATGAAGAAAATCAATTCAACCTAGAGTAGTTGAATTACAACTGACTACAGCATTGTTTTTTTACTTTTTCCAGAAGGCACATTTTCACACTGATTATTTTCATAAACATCTACATTTACTTTCCTCATTAGTACTTAATAAACTCAGCTTTTGGAATTCAGATTTGTTTGTCAAAATCATTCCCAACATACATGTAGCAGCAACACAAAATCAAAACTTGAAGAGATTGAGGTCAGAGAGTTCAAATGCAATTTTCTGATAATAATATTTTTTGAGTTATGTTAACAGTTACCCTGAAATTGGACCACTAATTATAATGATACTCAAACACTTTTGAGATATTTCAAAAGCAAACATGTTTAGGAAGAAAAATGACCTTTAACTGGTCATGCTGTCCAAACTTCTCTTTCTTAAGTGACTAATCAACAAATCGTACTGGTCTGGACCAAAATGGAATGTTTTTTTCTATTAAAGTGAACTCAGGACTGGCTCTTTTTGTTGATGAGTCACTTTCATGTAGTTTACATAATCTGCAAACTGGTGTCGCTCAGGTGGGAAATTTTGAATGATTGAACACAAAGGACTCTACTGACGGAATATAGCAGCTGTTGGTGAAGAACTTTCCGCCACCAAACTGTCAGAGAATTCAATGTTTTCATATAATAGTGTCCACACCAGACATCAAAATGTTGTAGGGGTCAGAGGAAACCCGGGCTTGTGTATTTGATAACGATCAAATGAATTACGCAGCAGCGTAACGGTAAAATCGACAGGTTCTTAAATTGAGGTTATCTCCGCAGTAATCTTCAAACGAAATGTAAACCTGACACCAATCAAACAAATCACATTGCAAACATTCAAGACCTGCCATTGCCAGGTAATATCAGGGGTGCAGTGAAGATATGTGTAGCGAGCGTGGAGACTTGGATTTTGAGGGAATGTATTGAAAACAACTAAACATCTGTAACATTTGTATTTAACTTTCCTGGGGATGTTCCTGTTTGAGATTTCTGCAATACCTGTAAAGCCCTGGACGTCAACGTGATCAAGCTGCTCAGTTAATTTCGCCATGCTTTCTTTCAATCAGCGTTAAAAAAGCGCTTTACTTTAGTGGGTTGCGCTATTTACAGGATAAGAAAAACGCAAATGAAAATGTAAACAGTTGCTAACCTGAAACCCCCTCCCTTGACCCAACCCCCTCCCTCATTTCCATACTAGCAATTATTCCAACCTATGGTATTCAAAATACATCGTATATCTGATATCAATATAGAGTCCGGTGGAGAGAAACTACATTTGTTATATATAAATAACTTTGAATATTATGTATAACAGTCTATATTAATTACCTCCCGGCAAGTCGTTAATTCCGCTACATAAATACCTTTTAAGATCACAACTGATCTATGATAGTCCTTTGTGGGCACCATGCACATTAGCTGCGATAAAGTAGCTCTGTACGACGGACGGACGATTTCTGATAGATGGTCGGAGCGGAGAGTAGGCAGGATATGAATATTCGTTCTACAATACATGCACACCTACAAAAACACATTGAAAAGATAGGGTGAGTTCGAAGAAGAGCAAAGTATACCGGGAAGGAAGGATCTGACCTACAGTGAGAGGTTGGAGAAACTATATATAAAGTACCAACACTCCTGTACTCTCCGGTGGCCGCTCTCCGGTGTGCCTCAGGGTATACGTAGCGTGCTTGGGCCGATCCTATTCCTACTCTTCCAGAGTACATCACCAATGGTTCCACCGCGCGGCTCTTTGCTGACGACTGTGTGATGTACAGAGAAATCAAGAACCTGGAGGAACTAAAAGATCTCTGATAAAATATCCATACACCATGCATCCATGGCCACATCCTAGAGGAGGTAGGGTCAGCAAAATACCTCAGAGTGAACATCCACAGCAGCTTAAGCTGGATTGACCACATCAATCAGGTCGCTAAGAAAGCTAACAACACCAGAGCTTTCATCTACCAGTGTCCACGAAACACCAAGGAACTGTGCTATAAGACACATGTAAGACCAATTATGGAGTATGCCAGTGTAATTTGGGATCCCTCCACAGCCAACAAAATCAACAAACTTGAGATGGTGCAGCGTGGGTCAGCCAGATCTGTCACCGGTGACTACCACACTACCAGCAGTGTGTCGTCTAGATCTATGCTGCAACAACTCCAGTGGCTTCATGAACGTAGGGCACAGTCCAATGTCATACTGATGTATATACCCGCTACACACCTCACCCCAGTGGGAGTAGCGAGGCGGGGTCATGAACTGAAGTTCCTGGTGCCATACGCAAGGACACAACATTACAAACGCTCCTTCTTTCCTGACGTGATCAGGCTGTTGAACAGTCTACCAGCTAACACCATTTCAATTTCAAAAGTACTTTATTGACAATACATATATAGTACAAACATATAAGTTAACATTAAAGAAGATATTAGAACAGTATTGACAAAAGACCAAGACAACAAGCTTTGCCTATATCAGTCTTCTTCTATTTCCGGTAGCTATGTACAATGCTTAAATATATAAAATGTTGTAATTCGTTTTCCTCGCACACACATGCACACCCACACCAGCTTATGTCATATACTCGTTAACACCATAACGTACAGCTCCCTGGAACAGCTTAAGGCTGAGCTGCAGCACACCAGGCTTCGATAGACAGGTGCACTGTATATATAGTTGTTTTTATCCGCACCACTTGCGGTTCTACTCACTGCGCACATGCAAGTAGGTCAATACACCAGATGGTGGACTGTACTTTATTGGAAGAAGAGGAACACTGGCTCTCATGAGAATTTAGGGAGATATGATCGAACTTTGCAAATTAATAAATCAAATTTATGACAAAAATGTTTAAATGCTGTCATACTATGGAAAGATGCCGCTGATAGCAACAGTGGCAGAGGACACACACACCAAAAATAAATTCCTAAGTCATTTTTTCATTTCAACAAATTTTATTGACAAAGATGATACAAGTCAATTGGATGGAATAACAGGCAAAGCCTATATAAATTCTCTCCAGCAGTGGCTAAATTAATGGATTCTATTATTTTTATTTGATTAAGTTAATACATCAATTTTGAAATGAAAATTATAAAAAAAAAATATTAAAGGGATGTAACTCCTTCTTAATTAACATAACTGAAATACAAATACATTCACACTTCTCACATCACACACAAAACACTTCCACAGGTATTATTTATTTTTATAACATTTTACAATTGTATATAAGCTATATAGCTATCAAATCACACAGATATTGGCAGACATTGACCAAAAGTCCATGTGCAAATATATGCACAGGTCACAGTCGCCAAAACTGTTAAGGTATTGTAGTTTAATATGAAAATAGATAGCTAGTCTATGTGTAATTCAATGTATAAGATGGAAACTGTAAAACAAGACAGATTGAACAAATCTTACAACAAACAACAACAAACAAACATGCTCAACTTAAAACTCCTATGTCCGTAGAAGAATACCATTTATAGAAAAGTAGGTAAAGTTACTTATTTGTGGAGTATAATTGGAATAGGAATAGTAAAGTATAAAAGTATAAAGTATAAGGTCATGGCTGGTTAGATCATATAGAGATTAAAACGCCTAGATTTACCAATAAATAACTGTACATCATTAAGTAACTGTCTGTTTGTTAGTCCATCACAATCAGGACAGCCTTGTAGAAAAATGTTTGTATCAATATGGTTATGATTTCCATAATTATCAACAGAAGTAAATAAAGTAAGTCTGAGATCATTATACAATGGACATTCAAGAAAGTAATGGAAAACTGTTTCATATTCAAAAGAGCAAGCACAAGAGGGACAGTCAGTTAAATGGTCATTGAATAAATCAAAATTTAAATTGCTACATAAGTGTCTAAGTTGACAAAGAATAATGTTCCTAAGTCATCAATAAATATGCTCAGAAAAAAACGATTGTTCAATCAGAACACTGACAATTTAGAATGAACTGCCAGAACATGACGTATCAACACTAAATGATAATTCATTTAAAAATAAGCTAGGCAATCGCTGGAAAAATCAAGAACTTTTCTTGAATTACAAATTAAAGCACCAATCAAATCATAAACATCAAAGTACATGTATACCGGATAGAAGTATTTGACAACTGTATTGTATTTATTTATCTATAAGGTGTATAGGACTATTAGTCATTAACCAGATATAAACTTAACTTATAAGTTACCTATTGTTAGGGAAAGCACTAGCACTAATGGAAGTTATTACTCAGGATCCCAGTCTTCGTGATAATCTAAAAGAAAATGTCAGATATTAGCCCTCTGTCAAGTGTTTCAAAGTAGTACACAGGCCTACATTATCTTTATAGTTGATATACTCATGGTTTCTTTGTCCTGTAATTAGTACCTACCTAATTCGAAAAGATTTTCAAACATTTTAGTGATCTATCTTTGCGCATGCACACAACAATTCATGTTTATTTCCGGGAAACTGTTTACGTTTTCAGACAACGCTGAAAATGAACCTTTTGAATCAAATTGCGGTATTTGAAGTATCTGATATGGACGAGAGTTAGTTTTTTCGAGTAAGTTAACATGTATGTTTTATTATTTCCTAAATGCAGAACTGTCTTCTGCAGTCCATTCATTTCCAGTCATATGATTTAAGGATGACTGTAGCCGGAGTAGGAGTGGTTTTAATTATTTTCCTATCAAATTTGTATCAATAGCGACGATTTAGTATTGTTTGGAAAATATACAAATCAAGTAGGTGTATATCGTATCAGCTATATGTACATGCATATATATATGCATTGCAATACATAGAGCTGTTATATTATGTGGCTCCACGCGTTCATATTATTGTACTATAGAGGATACTTATTTCCCTGCAAAATATGCTTTTAAACACAATCTGGATCAGATATGAATTGACGGTGAGGATGAATATTGTGCATCCGAATTGCTTTATATATTGTAATCAAAGAGGTTTGGTTTGAATAATAACATCCAGTTTCTGACAGGCACCACCTGGTACTACATGTATCGGGATTATGCACTGAATTTGTCTGTAAATCTGGGCACCTTCTGTTATGTATACGAGTACCGGTACCATTTGGGATGGTGGAGTATCATGTACTTAAATTGGGTCTCACACCCCACTTTATGCAGAGTTATAGCCTTTTGTTAATTTCTGCCACTTAAGTTTGTCTTGCGGTTAATGCTTGCAGTACTTTTCTTCGTTGATTTAAGTGTCCGGAAATCAAAACCCCTTGATATCTAACATAACCACCTACATTAATATTACAACATGTAACAATCCATCAACTCATAATCAGATTGTGCTGGACCAAATGATAAAAATACAACATTAGGTAATTTAATTATACCTGTATTATATAAGAGATCTTGGATGCCAAAAGGTAGATAAATGTCACAAGCTCTACTTTGAAATGCACTATGGGTGCAGCAGATAAAAGTTAGATATCTGCAGTATTTCCAAAGCAGATCAAGAGGACACAAAAGGAAACATCCAGCTCATGAAGATTAGACCTGCTTTCCTTTTTCTTGATCAGTGTTATTTGTAGCAACTTTTCTTTAGTTCTTTATCTCCTTTCATTTTAAATATACCTAGCCAATTAAGCTTAAGCAAGCTATGGTATTGGTACTGTGACCTAATTTTAACAACTACTATACTATAGTCCAGAACAACTGGGGTGACTTGGACTTGACAACTGAAGGATGGGAAAATTAAAGTTATTCCAACTCCAATAGTACAGGTTTTAAGGGATATAAACCTATTTTTTTCTTGGCTTACCTAGGCCAAAGTCAAAGGGGGTATTATAAGTAAATTTTCAAATCCTTCTCCTTTTGTTCATATTTGTAGGAAGGCCTACTGACAGCAATGGAGTGGCGTACATGGTGTCTATTGAGGTAATCAATGACAAAATAAAATTTTGCCAGAGAACATTGTGATAGTAAAGCAGCCATGTTGGTCAAGTGCTGATGTTTCTGGAGGGGACATGTGTCAGCCAATGTCCTTCAGTGTCCAGAGGGAGGTTCAGCTTCGATTTCTGTGTCCAGCAGATATTGATGAGGTCAAGAAGTTGTGCAGAGAATGGTTTCCAATAGAGTATGTATACCACGATTCCCTATGAAATATTTCATTTTGGATCTTACGTGAATCCTTATAATTGATAATTTTGTGATGATATTTTTTATGAAAACAATAATGTTGTACTGTAATGAAATACTTTTATATTAAACAACAGGCCCATGGGCCTTAACGGTCACCTGATATATTTATACAGAGAGTTGATTTTTGTTTTTAACATGAACAGAAATATTATTCAAAGTGACAAAAAACAATAAAATCACCTTATTCAATATCTAGCATGCAGATTTAAGACTGAAAAGTATTTGAAACTAGCACCTCTGATTCTAAACAACGAAAATGAAGAAATTTTATTTTAGCACACAGACTCCATTGGGCCCCACCCTACAGCCCTTGGGGGTAGGGATGGCTCAAAATTTACAAAGTATCAAACTGACAACTTAGGGTTATAATTCCAATCAAGTTATCAACATGTAATATTCAAAGCATCATTTGCCATTATAAACCATAACAAATTTTGCCCCCCCCCCTCCTTCCCCAGGGGTAAACGTGAGACCCCAGGGTCATGAAATTCACAATTTTGGTAAAGCACCCTAAGACCCTACCATCTATGAAGAGTATTTGATTCTACCATATCTGGTCTTGAGAAGAAGATTTTTGAAATTTCAGTCAATTCAACCCTTTTTGGCCCCACCCATCAGCCCCTGGGGGTCAGTCAGGGCTGATATGTGCATACCATCAAACTGCTTTCCAATACTGATAATTCTAACCCAAATTGAATTACTTCCAATGGCAATTAAACAAATGTTAGTCCAAAATGTGATTTCCCTATGTAAACTATAGTAAAGTTTACCCCCTCCCCAGAGGGAAACATGAGACCCCAGGGTCATGAAATTCACAAATTTGGTAAAGCACCTTAAGACCCTTCCATCTATGAAGAGTATTTGATTCTACCATATCTGGGTCTTGAGAAGAAGATTTTTGAAATTTCAGTCAATTCAACCCTTTTTGGCCCCACCCATCAGCCCCTGGGGGTCAGTCAGGGCTCATAGGTGCATACTATCAAACTGCTACCTAATACTGATAATGCTAACCCAAATTGAATTACTTCCAATGGAAATTAAACAAATGTTGGTCCAAAATGTGATTTCCCTATATAAACTATAGTAAAGTTTACCCCCTCCCCAGGGGGAAA